TTTCTTAAAGTAATTATTGACTGTCTTTTTCTCCTTGCTTGCTGAGCACATTTTGTTCATTCAGGAATGACAAACCTTTGCCTATGCTCCCTATATTCATAGTAAACGTGGACCCTCGCCTGTTTACCGATAATTGGTGACAAAAGGTAAATGAGGTAACATGCTAGTTAACCGTGAGACCAACTAAAAAAGAGCATTTTAAACTTCTTTTAGTGTTCTAACACCATTTTATACACATTTCTGACATTTAACTAATCTGGGTATCAGACTAAAATCCACTTGCTTTGGGTGTTCATTTTATGGAATGGAAAATGAACATTTTCAATGCAGTTCCCTTAAGATTATAAGTACATGTATCATGTAATTTAATATGAAGTGTTTATAGACAAGTTTATTCAGTTTAAAGCACAGATAATCATGAAACACCTGGTTTCAAGCTGGTGTACTCGTACCTTTTGACTGGTACTGTATGCTTCAAAATAACAGATGATTCAGTTGGAGACTTGCCAGGTCATATTAAACTATCCAGCTAAGTCAACCTGGGCATAATATGGGAGTGTGAGATGAATTATGACTTGGCAGGCATGTTATCTCAACCTGTCCGTCTGTTTTGTGGGGGTACAGGACAGTAGAAACTGCAGATGTCCTGGGTTCATCCACTCATCACCCTGATCCCAAGCAGCTGAGGAAACTCAAGCAGCAGCAGCTACAGCAGAGGTTCCGGGAGCAGATGATGGCAAAGAAGACGCAGGAGGAAAAGCAGCTGAGCATGGACGTCACAGCGCCCCCTGGAGGTTACAAGCCTGGCGGTTTCCAGGGTGAGAGGGACAGAGAAAGATGTGGCGGAGATAATGCACTTTTAACCTGTTGAAAGCTTTCAAGGAGTAGTTCAAAGAGAAGGGATCTACATTATGAGTAAGAGCTCTCCAACCTTTAACATTTTCAGCCTGCTGGTTTTTCCAGTGTCACTCACTGATAATTAAAAAGCTTCTTATAACTTGCATAGTTTTGTATGCTTCTTTGAAAAAGCGATACGCCTGAGGTCAAGTGGTTTAAACAGCAGCAGTAATATTCTTTCATTTTGTACTGGTGCCAATGAGGATGTATGACTGAACTGTTGTTTTCAGGCTTGACTGAAAACCTGTGCTGGCTTTGGGGTTGACACAATGCAAGACATTGCTTTTACTTGCTGAAAATCTTGTATTCCGTCATTCTGGTCAGGCTCAGTCAGATAAGTTTGAAATGATCAGACCTGCAACTTTTGTCAGAGTCTGTGACAGCAGCTTTATCACCTCGCAACTCATAGCTGGCAGCCCCACTGAAGCTCAGCAGGTGTGAGCCTGGTCAGTACCTGGATAAGAGACCTCCTGGGAAAAACCAAGGTTAATGCTGGAAGAGGTGTTTGTCAGACCAGTAGGGGGCGCTCACCCAGTGGTCTGCGTGGGTCCTAATGCCCCAGTATAATGACCGGGACACTATACTGTTAAAAAAGGCACTATCCTTCAGTTGAGACCAAGGTTCTAATTAAAAACTAAGGTCCTAATTCTCTGTGGTCATTGAAAATCCCAGGGCATTTTTTAAAAAGAGTAGGGTTGTGACCTAGCCAAATTTTCCCCTGGCCTTTACCAATCATGGCCTCCTAATAAACCCCATCTCTGAACTGGCTTCATCACTCAGTTCTCACCTCAGAGAGCTGATGTGTGGTGAGTTTTCTGGCAGACTATGGCTGCTGTCGCATCTTTCAAGTGGGTGGTGGTGGAGAGGGGGCCCTATTATTATTATTATTATTATTATTATAATATATTTCCAAAGAAAATGCTCACCTTCTCTCCATCTTAAAATATAGCTCGAATCACTTAAAGAACATACTAGTAATTCCTTATATTAATCTAGTACATTTCACTCTGAAGGATCCTAGAACACATTACATTTTTAGCAGGAAGCCCACTTCATCTTCCACTTAAGGAAAAGATCCACGTGGGAGACTTACAATAGCCAAAGGATCCAGAAACTCCACCACACAAGCAGATCAGATAGAAAAGCCAGAAATTGCTCCCCGTATTTAATTAAGGTAGGCCAGACTATGCAAGCCCAGAGTGGAATTTGGCCAGGACAACTTGATTCTGTCAGCGCCTCTACATATATAAACAATACCTTGGGATCTTTAATGACCGTAGTCAGGATTTAACATCTCATGTTAACATCTCACCAACAGCAAAGCGTTCCCTGTCCCCATCACAGGACAGTGGTCTGGAATTTGTGGTACATATGGCAAGATGTCATTTATTAGCCCACCAGAACAACTTTCAGCAGTAATCCGTTTTTTCCTGGAGTACCTACCAGCCTCAGCCTTTCTTTGCTTCCAAGATCTGAATATCTCAGAATCTACATCTGAGAACATAGCATGGTGTAGGTCCTGAGAGATTTAGGATAGACTCTGGAGGAACAGTTTAGGATCAACCAGTTTTCACATCAGTTAGCCTGGTGTTAGCTGCTGATCTTTAGACTTGATATCTGGGTGCTGTTCGTCGTTCTCCAGGAAGTGCAATCCCAACAGGCCACAAAGATCCCCAGAGGAGTCACAGCACGCCCCTGAGCAGCCGAGCGAATCCTGCAGAGGAACAGTATCTAACCGGTAAGGAAAGTGCCCTGCACATCTCTGAGCCCTGCCACAAACTTTTTTTTTCCCCAAATCTGACAGAACCTCACAATGGTGTGGAGCTGAGACCTTTTCCTGGCCTAGTTTTTACCGTCTTCTCTTAACCACTAAATACAGGTGTCCCATTGCTAGACCTCAGAGAGATTTTGAATTCAATCTGTATGCATCATTTACTAATTAGATTTTTGGGGGGTTTTCAGATGCCAACATGCAGCAAAATGTTTTATTTACCCTTATCCCAGATGACTAAACAATATTGGAAATAATTAAGTGGATATATAATACAAATTCTAGGCAATAAATATACGATAGTGCCACACTGCCTTAAGGCCTATTTAAGTATATGCAATACTGCCATTGGGTTTTAAAATATGTGGAGAGTACCGTGGCTTTTGGAGAGAGAATCTAAATGAAAAGGGAATACAAATTAAAGTTTGAAGGTTATTCTTGTTAACCCGGAGAGGGTATGTGTGAAACCATCGGATGGGGGGTGTGAGGGGTACTGCTGATCGAAGAGGTTGAGGAAGACAGTGTCTCCGAAATCGATAGTAAATCACACCTTTGACAGGTGTCGATCCAGTAGAGAAGAACCTTACTGCAAGCGTGGGAGGTAACAGTTCTTTGAGAAGCCTGATGCACATATGAGCAGAAAACGGTCTCGAGGAGCGAGTGGCTGTTCCGATACCTATTTGTTTTCCGCCCTCTCAATTCAAGGGGGAGCGTGACTGGTGGGTTTGAGGGGGATGGAGAGGGTGAAGAGGAGGAGGTCAGGTGCAGAATGAGCTCGGGGAGGCGCGAGCACACCCAAGATGAGAGGGTCGAATGACACAAGGATGTACAGAAGGAGACGTCAGGGGAAGAGAGCGGAAGATCTGAGTGCAGCCAGTCAGCATAGAAGTGATATAAGTAGCTACAGGAGGAGAAGTTAACTTTAAATGTCCATGAGCTGATCAAGCAAGGTTCAAATTATTAGTGGAGTTCATTAACAACGCACAGTTGGAACAAGAAACCCAACTGAGGCACTGAACTCAAAAGGAGCAGGACAGGGAGCGCCTACATTAAGTGGCTGTGCAACGTATCAGCAGTGAAAGGCATCAGATAATGACATAGCAGTGGACGTTTTTGTGTGTTCCTGAATGGTGTTCCTATTGGCCAACTCTAGTGATAGTAATAATTCCTTACACTTATATAGTGCTCTTCTGGACACTCCACTCAAAGAGCTTTACAGGTAATGGGGAATCCCACTCCTAACACCAGTGTGCAGCCCCACCTAGATGCTGTGACAGCAGCCAGAGAGCACCAGTACACTCACCACACACCAGTTCTCAGTGGGGAGGAGAACAAAGAAAAAAAAGCCAGTTCAGAGGTGGGGATTATTAGGAGGCCATGACTGGTAAAGACCCATGGGAAATTTGGGCAAGATGGCGGGGTTACAACCCTAGTCTTTTCAAGAAACGCCCTGGGATTTTTAATGACCACAGAGAGTCAGGACCTCGGTTTTACGTCTCATCTCAAGGACGGCGCCTGTTTACAGTATAGTGTCCCCGTCGCTATACTGGGGCACTAGGACCCACACAGACCGCAGGGTGAGCGCCCCCTGCTGGCCCCACTAACACCTCTTCCAGCAGCAACCTTAATTTTTCCCAGGAGGTCTCCCATCCAGGTACCGACCAGGCTCACACCTGTTTAGCTTCAGTGGGTTGCCAGTGGTGAGCTGCAGGGTGATATGGCTGCCGGCAACAGTACTGCTTAATGAAGAACTGTCCTTACTGGTAGATGACCCAGAGCTGTGGAACTTCCCCCTGGATGAGAGCGAGATCATCAGCACCGAAAAGAGCAGCCGGGCTTCTGGTCGCAGCACTCCCACTACGCCGGGTGGGCACCACATGATGACGCGCAGCAAGACCCCCCAGAGACTGCCCTCAGCGAGACCTCCCGTCAGGCCTAATCACATGCTGAGCCCCTCCAGGACCTCCAGTAACCTGCAACAGCCAGGAGCCCAGAGCTTCAACACAGGTATTTTATTTGAGTTTTAAACAGGCCTGGCTTTCAACCTGTGGGCTGAGGGGAGGGCGGGGGCACCAAGCTCACGAGCAGGCTTCACCACAGAGCACTGAGTTGTCTCCAACCAAGGAGAAACCGGGCAATCCAGGAAGACTCCCCATCAGTATGGGCAGAGCAAAAACAGAAAAAAAGCGTCGGGATAAACTGTGAAAGTCAGCGACGATCAGCATTCATCGAAAAGGGATTAAAAACATTGCAGGTTCTCTGCAGCTGGGCAGTGTATCAGAGCAGCTGCCTTTGACAAGAATAGATCCGCCCATTTGGAGGCACTTGCACTCCGAATTCGCTGACAACAAGCTAAGAGTCTAGAAGTGTTCCTGGGCCAAACCCACAGGGACCTGCGACACACCCTGTGGTACAGGGTGCCTCACAACAGACATTTTAACAGGTGGGCAAAGGTGAAACAGATCCTAAGCAGCCAAAAGGTACAAAGTTTAATTACAGTGTGCAGGAACATAAAAAACAACACCAAAACAGAAGATCAAAAACCTAGCTTTTCTTTAAGGTCCTGACTATAGAGACTGAAATGCTCCCGACTTTATTAAGTCCCTAACTATCAAACGTGGCAGCTAAGATGCTTACCAGTTTTTCAAAGTGACCTCTCTCTGAGACTCTTTACAGAACTCTTCCAAAACTCTTCGCTTAGCCAGCCTGGGGACAGCAATTCATATCCCTCTGCATTCTGGGGCATGTGGTCCAGAAGAGAATCTCCATTTTGTCTGTACTCACTGCCCTCTCACAGTCCTGCAACCTAAGAATTTGGGTGCCCCAGGCTTCAGACAGTGTAACTGCCCGGAGTGGAATCAGCCAAGGCAGGCTGTCTAGAAGTTGCTGCGGTCCTGTGAGTGAAGATCTTCCCTCCTGACCTAGTCCAAGGAGCTTTAGTAGAAGAACCACTAGAGGTCACACAGGTAGCCATGGGGGGCATCAGAGCATTGACACCCAGCAAACTGTACTGATGACCGAGAGCAGTGAGAGGAGTGAGTGGCTGTCCTCTCCTGCCTTTTCAAACTGTAGATGCTGTTCAGAGGGCAGCAGGTCTCCTGAACAGCAGGCAGCAGGTCCAATCTGTGGCAGTAGCAGTGGTGCCACTGTGAAGGGGTTTGAGACCTGAAGCCACCCTTGTAAATGGATGTAGAATCCCACATATATGTCGTCTGTGTGTATGAGCTCAAATCAGGGTCATGGAAATCCTGGAAAAGTTATGGAAGATGAGAAAATATCCATTAAGTTTTGGAAAAGTCATGGAATTGATTTTAGCTGACCCAGAATGATCATGGCTGTATCATGTAATTTTGTTCGAAAGTTAGCAAACTTTTAAAAAGAGGCTGCGGTGCTGCCATTCAAATTAGAGTGTCGCGTCAGACCCTCTCGCCGGAATTTTATAGTGAGCCGTAAGCTAGCCTAGCGCCTGTCAAAATGCCGGGTAAATGTGTTTCCAGTGACCTCTGGTTAGCAGATGAAAAATACAAGCTGTGGCTCCAAAGAGATGAAGACCCAGGACGTGCGAGTTGTAAATCCTGCAGGAAAAGACGTTATGAAAAAGGTTTGGAATTTGGGTGGGGAAAAATGAGTGGGAACCCTGTCAAATGTCACTTGGGCAGCAAGTCTTTGCCAAGGGTTGGTAGATCAGCCCCCATGTCCAGGGTGGAGGATACCTGAGGGACCCTCTGGTTCGGGGTATGAATAAATCTGGAGGACACTGCAAATGTCCAGCTGTCCTGCAATGGGATCACTTTACTTCCATCCACGTTCCTTCTGATTCATTTCATGTATTTAAATGATTCGTCTTTCTTGATAGGCGTCCTGGTAATTGCTTTTGTCCCCAGTAGAACATTTCTTGTTAAAGGCCATCAGAACTTACACAGCAGTTCTGTCAGTCAACAGCTTCTGATTCTGTTCAGTACGTCGGATTGAGAAGCCCGGGAATTGTTTGAAACCAAAGGGGACTGTGTAAAGGGCAAATACAATCCGATACACAGTCCCTGGCTCTGTGTCTGCCTTGGCATCCTGTGGGGGTGTGTCCTACCTTGTGCCTGTTGCTTTCTGGATTAGGCCCGAGCTCCCCTGTGACCTTGCGTTGGATGGTAGTAGTAGAGTAGAGCTGTAGGGGAGTTTACTGCCACATGTACATGTCTATTAGAACTCTTCCGCACGCTGATCTGTCTGGACAATCACAGTACAGCAGACGACGCAGTACGACAGACAACACCACAGTGGAGCGGTGGACCTAAGCTGTCAATAAATTCAATTTTTTTCCTCCCCCTCTGTTACAGGCGGACCTCACAGCCCGTACAGACAAGGACAGCATATGAAGAAACGGAAACTGGAAACATTGGCATAATGTATATTAAGGTGTACGAATGATTCAGTCCATTAATATATACATTTAATTTTGCATTGTGAAGTCACTGCTGGGTAAAGAACCTGAGATCTTGCTTTAACTAAAACAAGAACATGCGGGCATCTTTTTACATTGTTCATGTGACATTTTCTAAGTAATCAGCTACCTCCTTTATCTTCTGTCCTTAGAGAGTTCTTCCATAGGTTTGTTGTGAAACAGCTGAGCCCTGCAAACAGCCTATAGTGGCAAAGTGATACATCGGAGATCAGGATGTTCACGAAAGAAGGTTAAGGGATACTGTACAATATGTATAACGCTTTATATACTCAGTCTACTCGAGCTCCATCATTACCTTTTATGGATTTTAAAGTCTATTGAGCCCAATTATTTTAATGAATTAACTTGAGTTCAGTCACATGCTTAGAATAGTCTACACACATGGAGAAGTTTTTGTAATGCAAAGATTTCAGATCTGAACTTTACAGAATTACTCTGTAAGAAATTGAACGTTTTCCTGTTTCTCAAAGAAAGCACCAGTGCATGTTATGAAAACAACCCATAGTTCCGAAAACAGTGTTGTTATTTTTATATCTAGGCCATTTCAAGGTGTGCAGAGGTATTTTATAATGTTTACATAGAAGGGACACTTTTTGTCATTCTGTTGTTTGAAATGTTTTAAAGACATTTAAGGTTAACTGTATATTTTTATAAATGCTATTGATAAACCTTAATAAAAATGAAAAATAATCTATTGTGCTTAATACACTCTTTGCCTTATTCGTTGTTTCCCTCCTTTTTTAAAATCAAATTTAAAGAGATTATATCGTTCTGCACAATTTCATACCATAAATAAGAACATAATCGTTGCAGGCAAGAGGAGGGAATTCGGCTCCATTAGTGTGTTTGATTGGGAAGAGATAAGTAATCTGAGAATCTCATCCAGCCGTTTCCTGAAAGAAGCCTGTGTTGGCTTAAACACTGAGAAAAACGGAAATGAACCAATTTTTTCTTTGTTCTTTCGGTATGTGGGAAGATGGACTAAATCAGGCTTGGGCATTCACAGCCAGCAGTTTCTGACCTGGCAGGATGTTACAGCTAAACAGTCCAGCAATGAGCAGTAATGGCCATTATGTTCCTAATGGTTTTTGTTGTGTTGATCACACTGCATTAGAAATTCCTGATTATAAAAATCTTGGGAGATTTAAATGGTCACTGATTGCAGGCCAGATGACCACACAAGGGCCTCAATGACCCAACAGAATGGTGTGAGCAATACAATACTGCAAAAGCCTTTTGGTCATCTTCATCTTCATCGAAACAAAGATACATTTTTGGTAGCAAAACTCATAACGCCATCTGCTGGTCATTAATTACCACTGCATACAGTAATGTGATATTTCCACAATGTGAAAACTTACGGAGTGTGAGCACAGCCCAAACAACGCTGTTCACATAAATGGAGTTTATTTCTCAATCTGTATTTCAACAAACAGGGCATTAATGCAGTATTAACACGGTGTTTGGAAGTATGATTTACAAATAATCCAGTACTCTTCTCAGCTAATCGGGTGTATTTATGATAATTACAGTCCTGCATTTCTCATTACCTGTTTTTAATTTAGCAAATGTTGCAATCTGCTAAACTCTAGTCATTGCTTATAATGGTACATTTAAACCTTGTAATGATGAAACATCACGACATGTTACTTTGTTTCAGCTCATTCAGTTACTACAAAGTATAACAAACAGTGCCAAAGATAACGGTAGCTACAAGTTTAACTTAAATTTTTTGTGACTATACAGTGTGTACGCTCCTAAGGATATGTGTAAAAACAAATTACATCTCCTAATGTGTTTTAGTTGTCAGAATGTTTTCAGAAGCTTTTGGCAGATGCTACCTTGATAACCAGCAAGTATTTAAAGAGGCTGAGCACATAATCTTGAAGCTGAAAACCATAAAAGGGGTTGCTACAACACAAGGAAGAGGAGGAAAGGTTAATCTTAATGTGTGGTTAGGGAAGTCATTTGGGATGTTAACTCACAGGGTAACAGATGGAAGGACTTCACAAAACCGTGTCATCATTAGCATACAAAATCTCCAAGACTACCATTCAATGCTGACCTTATGAATCTGATGTCTGTGGCCAACCTCCATGGTAACATTAAAAGAAAAGACACATATTTGCCTAACGCTAATTGTCTCCCAAGTCAAATGGGGCCACGTGATGTGGCTGGGTGTTTTCTTACCTGCAGTATGATTAGCAGATTAAAAAAAAGAATAGTATCCCTAACTGGAATAGCAGAAATGGTTCGAGTCGGTAGCTGCATCAGCATGCGTAGGCTGCAAAGGAACAAGTAAAGGTTTATTCCAGGCTGAAAAGAGAAGAAACGAGACACAACGTTTCAGCTCTGGAGCCTTCTTTTGGTCTTCACTTGAAGAAGGCTCCAATGCAATAGACCTTTACTTGTTCCATAGCAGAAATGGATCTGTCCTGCTTTTGGGTTGATCTCTGGCCCTGGTACCCTCGTTAGATCCGAGGGCCTGATAGTTTCTAATACTAACCAGCATGTTTTATCCAGAAGATACCAGTCGATGTTACAAAGCTCATGTTCGGTCACAAATGCACCTTACGTTAGGATAACAGTACAAGTCCTGCATCAAGAACAATCACTAAATGGTTTAAGACAGAATAAAGTTCGGGGTTTGTAATTACCTATTGCAGTCTCTGATAGAATGTGTATGGATTGCATTGAGCAACCTGATCACAACCTCGAGCAGCTTATAGGTTTTCTATTAAAATAACAGTCACATATGCTGCATACAAAATTCAATTAGCCTATTAAAAGGCTACAGGAAGCACTTCTTGGAGGTTATCTAGGGCAAATCAGGGCTCACATCATACAGACTGACAAAGTCCTAATTACTTTGTACATCAATTAGAAATATATGTTAACATGTTTGATAGATTTTCTATTTACACATAAACAATTGCACACATAAGCTAACTGTAAGAAAACATACACTTTCTAATACTTTATCCGCTATTTCCGCCAAACAGACCAGTTATTTGATTATTGCATGACCTGTTGTTTATTAGACATACCTGGGTGCACCTAGCAATTTCAGGGCCGTTAATGTTGACAAAAAAAACAAGTGAAATCCACACAGCCCTAGTGATAATGTATATGAGCACGTACATTTAACCACTTATCCAAAACCATACCGAGTATGCTCTGGTATATTATTATTATTATACCTCATCGTATATGAGAATGTGGGAATTTGCGGAACTGGATATTTTGGAATGGGTCTTCTCGCCAGAAACTGAAAGTAGGAAGCCACTGGCATTCTGCTTAACAAACGAGTAAAATGTTGCAGAGATAAGCACTTTCAACCACTTTCATCGGATTGAAATGCATTATTTTATCCCACGTAAAACCACAACATCTTTATCCAAAACTCGACTGCCAACTTCATACCGGAAATAAATCGGCACCGGAACCTCCCTTTGACCTTAGAGCGTCGCCTGACGGGCTGTATCCATCCGCGTGTTAAAACTCCGCTGAAATCGCCCTACACTTTTTCCGCTTATGTAACCATTTCGTGTAAAATTCTTAGCAGATTTTTCCCCATCGAAGTGAATCGCAACGCTAAGGGTGTATAATATAGCGTCCGGAAAGAACATTTTTACTTTTCCACCGGGGAAAGAGGAGGATGGATACGCTGTTGTTGCTAAGGGGGTGGTGCGGCGGCCGTAGAAAGAAGGAAGATTTTGAACGAAATAAGGAATAGTAGTATTTTTTTCCACGGACAAAAAAAATCAGAAAACAAGCCACAAATAAGGGAATGCGGTATACGGACCTAAGATCAACTGATAAACCTACGCATCCTGAAAGCTGACGTGCTGTTTTAAGTTTTTTTTTTGTGTGTGTGTGCCTGTGCTGTTCTGCAAACACCTTGCTAAGTTATTTGGAGTATAGAGGTGTACCGTCAAAGATGGATATACGACAAGCTTGGCTGCTGAACGGAAGAACACGAGAAAATGATTGCTCTGCACGAAGTGATCGATATCACCTCTAATAAACCCGACGCTTGTTTTTTTTTTAAAAAAACAAACAAACAAATCTTTTGGGATGAGCGGACGTGTGCCTTACTGTGTATCTATGCCAGAAAAAAAGCACTTAAAAGAGGAATAATTCAACATCCAGAATAACTTTCAGTGTATAGAAGAAACGAATGGACGTCTTCCTGGCCGTGTGGATCGAACGAGGAGGTTCGATCATTTTTTTTTTTACCCTCTCTGAAATTATGAAGTCATTTGACATCCACGACAGATGGAACACCAAAATGAGTTTCCTGCGCCTTTTAAAATAGGATTTTCCTTCAGGAAGGATACTAGTAACATTTAACCGTGCCGGCGTTTTAACCAAAGAGATACAACTGTTGCTGTTCTGCTTTTACTATTTTTTTCTTCTCCGGATTATCACGGGCTTGTTTGATCTTCGTGTCCTCCCTACCTTGCCTGATGCGCAGAGAGGAGCACTGGGTCGGTTTGCATTTGGTCGTGATGTAGACCTCCAGGGGTACACCCGGTTTCTGGAGTGCCTCTGCATCATTTTGCTGGTCTGTTTGCCAGTGGTGTTAAGCTCTCTCCTCCCCGACCTTACGTGTCTTCTTTTTATTCACGTCTAGCAATGCATAAAGTTTTCCTGAAGAAGAAAGGACGACGCGAAGACAAACCGACGTCGTCGCTACCATTGTTTCTCGAAGGAAGCGTGTCGGACACGGCATGAAAACGCATCGCGCACATTTTGGACAGACATTGAGTATCTTCCACTAAAAAAAAAAAAACAAGATTGAACGGGCGCCTTTGAATTTTAATCTGAACAAAAAAAAAACCACACACCCCCCGTAATGTCTGTGTACTCTGAATTCGTCCCTCCTCCGGAGTGTCCTGTCTTTGAGCCCAGTTGGGAAGATTTTTCGGACCCTTTAGGTTTTATTAACAAGATACGACCCATTGCCGAGAA